GGCGCTGACCTCCAACAAAAAGAAGAAGTAATTTTATCGGAATACAAGAGTTCTTTCTTTTCGAAATCCGAATAGAAAGGGTACAGGTTGTATTCGAATACAACGTGTAGGACCCACACCGTTTCAATTCGCAGCCTTTAGGCTGCGGTATAGTGGGCTTCCGCGTCTGTGTCAAGGTGTCGCATTTTTGGCCGCGGGCGACCAGGACGCAAAGTGGGTTCTCAGGGAGCAAAAAACTTTGGGGGACCGGTCCTTGCCAAAATTGCGGACTAGCTACAACTAGCTCTGGTAGAACCGGGACTTTTGGAAAAACGAAGGACCGGTCCTCGGGTGGAAGCGGACCCTCAAAAGAAGTAACGGCATGTGAACTGCAAAAGGGCCCTCAGGCCCAGGCGTTGAGCCCCGTCTTCTCAAAACAAGGAGGTCGGGCACAACAAAACAGACGTTTTGCAAGAGACAACTTCGACGATTTTCTGTGCTCAGACGAACATGCACAAAAATCTGAAATTTTGAGAATCCATAGATGAGGTCGTGTTCTTTCCAGAAATAGTAATAGAACATTTACAAAAAATCATTTAGACTGCAAAATAATCGTCGCGCCCATTCAGCACATTTTCCATTTTTGCCACTTAGCCATGCCTGGGCCAACTGAAAAAGTACTCCAAATTCAGTGAGTTTTCACGCTCAGAAGAATGCATGAAAACACCTGAAAATTGGAGTACTCGCAGATTTTGTTGTGATCTTTCCAGGAAAAACGCTACATAAATTTTAAAAAAAATCATTCCAACTGCGAAATAGATTGCGGCCGCAATTTGACCCATATTTCAATTTTGCCATTCAGCCTCTCTCTCTCTCTCTCTCTCTCTCTCTCTCTGGTAGGCCTCCCCCCTCCCTCTCTCTCTATTTCTTTCTCTCTCTCACACTCATAACAATATATGGAACAAAACTCTCTCTCTCTCTCTCTCTCTCTCTCTCTCTCTCTCTCTCTCTCTCTCTCTCTCTCTCTCTCTCTCTCTCTCTCTCTCTTG